TAATGTATTGTAATATTACCATCGACTGGTTATAAATGAATTGGAGCCTAAGCGTATACTATTTTTTCTGGCATATATATTAGTTATTGTATTTCTGACATTATTTAAAACTGGTGACTTAGAGTTTACTGGGCCCTAGGCGAATGTGGTTTCATATATAGGTGATTCTGGCCACAGAAATTGCTAGGCGCCATATTTTGCAATACTGAATGTAGGTATATGCGTCTAGTATTTAAAAGAAAACTGACAACCAATCTAATTCCCAAAAATTTGTCTTCAAACGTTCTTTATACAGGTTTTTATTTTTTCAAAAGTAATTTATGCAACTCGTACATTGTTCACAACGTTCTACTTCTGATTTTAACAATAAAGCACAATACGCTGACAGTTTAGCTAGCTGGAGCTCGTAACATGACAATCTAGCTCATGGGAGACCGCAGCAAGGGGTAAGGGGGTCAGTTGCCCCCCCCACCCGAATTTTCAAAAAGAAAAAAATTACTAGATATGTAAAATTATTCTTATATGTTATTGGAAAATAATAAGGTATTTGTATTTCGATTTCATAATTTTTCAAACTTGAGTTACTTGACCCTCCCCATATTTTTTTTTCTGCGGGCGCCCTTGCAGCAAGAGTTGGCCCGACATGGCCAGGTGGTTAGGACTCTCGACTCGCAATCTGCGGGTTCGCATCCCCGTCCCACCAAACATGCTCGCCCTTTCAGCCGTGGGGGCGTTATAATGTGACGGTCAATCCCACTATTCGTTGGCAAAAGAGTAACCCAAGAGATGGCGGTGGGTGGCGATGACTAGCTGCCTTCCCACTAGTCTAACACTGCTAAATTAGGGACGGCTAGTGCAGATAGCCCTCGTGTAGCTTTGCGCGAAATTCAAAAAACAAAACAAACAAGCAGCAAGAGTTCAAACTTTGATCATATCACTAACAATTGCAATACCTGGTGTGTAGCTCTTAACTAACCCAAATAAAATCAGTCGTATCTATCAAAGCATTAATTACTATAAAACTAACTCAGTTAATGATACAAGTGCAGGTGGTGGTGAAAGGTTAATTTTGATATTTAATACATAATTGAAAATATTGTT